GTGATCGTGCAGCTTGGCCTAAAGTCTCCTGAATCTGTCTCTTATACACATCTAGATGTGTATAAGAGACAGGTAGAGAACTCCCGGTTGACGTGGCAGTCGCGCTCGTGCGCAGGAAAGCTCGTGGCAATCTGTAGGCGGAGAGTCGACTTCGCCCTCACCGGCGGACGGCTGCTGCTGGACGGCCGAGAGAGCTCCCCCGGCCGTCCATCTTCCAATCAACAAGCGGCCAGCTCAGCAAGAGCGCGCGCGAGAGTACGGGTTGAATTTTCGGCCGGCGCATCAAAAGCGCGCGGGCATCAAGCCGGCGCCAAGTGGGTTGAACGCGGGGCGGGGCCATGGCAGCGGCGCGCACCATGCAGGCCACGTGCCAATTTTTTCGGCAATGCTGTGTTCATTCAGGCGCTGGCGCGGCGTCGTCGGGGGCGGCGGGCTCGTCGTCATCCTCGGGAACATCGGCCAGAGAAGCTCGCCCCTTCGTTCCGCGAGGTTATTACTCTCGGCATTCTCAAGATGCGACAGCGGCGGCGGCGCATCTCCTCCCGGGTCGTTCCAAGACCCGGCGGGAGCTTTCGTGCTCGTCTTCTTCCTCCTCGTCTTGCAGCTTCGTGGCGCCATCGCCAGCTCGAAATCATTACGGCCGCTTGAAATGCAGGCAGCAGCAGGCAGGCAACGGCATTCCTTTGGCTGGAAGAGGTAGCAGGATCACCACCTGCGCAGTGGCGGAGACCGCGGTGGAAGAAGCGTCGCAGGACAGCCCCGGCGGGCCAGCCGCGGAAGAGGCAACCGGCCCGCGGGAATGGAACGCAGCAACTGTGCTTCGCGTGGACGACATTGCGCCGGGCGTGCGCAACGTGGTCCTCGAGGTGGAGGCCAGCAGGGAGTACGTGGCGCTCGAGAACGCGTACACGTTGCCAGGACAGCTGGCTAGCGTCAAAGTGCCAACTACCGCGACCGCTGGCGGAAGCGACGGGAATGGCAGCGTCGGGCGTGCTGGGGAGAGTCAGGACGCGGAGATGACTACGTTGAACGTCACGTGCTCATCGGCCCCGTTCAGCATGGAAGTCAATCGTGTGGTTCTGCTGAAGCTTCGCGGGGATATCTCGGCGGGAGAGTCCAAGGTCGTGCAGTACATGATGTCTGTCAAAGCGCCGCTGGAGTTGTTCGTCGAGGAGGCTAAGGCGGAGGCGCTGTACGACTTGCCCGTGGGAGCAGAGGTAATGGTTGGACCATTCCAGAAAACTGGTATGGACTTCCTGCCCATCATGTTCCTGGTACGTTATCCAACAATCTTGGTCTTCACCGACGATGGACCTGGAATTGCGGCGGCACGTGCGATGATTGAGGCAAAGGACGTGGGGAGTCTGATGCTTAACATGCGAGAGGACGTGAGATTGTACTACGCGGCAGAGAAGCCGAGCACAGTGGCGTACAGAGACTCGTTTCCGGAATGGGAGTCGACGGGGGTCAAAGTGCGCGCGACGGTGCGCGACGTGGGGGAAGGTGGGTGGGACGGATTCGTCGGTTCCTTCTCGCAGTTGTTCGACGAGGACGACCTCGAGTACGACCCCGAATCCACGGCGGCGGTTGTGTGCGGCAGCCGGAAGACGATCGACGAAGTAATGAGAGTTCTTGAGGATGCTGGTATCCCCGCTACGCAGGTGGTGCAATGGGAGTCCAGATAGATGAGGGTCATCGGTCTGTTAGAGGCATAAGAAGAAGATAGGACAGTGGAGGCAAAAGTGAGGGAAGGGTGTGTGTTTTGCGTTCTGTGTCTCTGCTTGTACGCGTGCGCGCGTGTGTATAGAAAGAGATGGAGTCGTCTGTAGAGAGTGCGGGGGTTTTGTTTGTGTTTGTGTTTGTGTGTGTGTGTGTGTGAGAGAGAGAGAGAGAGAGAGAGAGAGAGAGAGAGAGAGAGAGAGAGAGAGAGAGAGAGAGAGAGAGAGAGAGAGCGGCCGCGCGGAAGTGCGTGGACTTGCCACCGGTGTCAATGCGCGCGGGAGGGTCGATCGGTGGGAGAATGGTGCATATAGGATTTATGTAATAACTGATTGTTCGGCTGCATGGGTAGCAAAAGCAGCTCCTTTTTTGTTGATTCATCGAATTTATTTGCAATTAGCCAAGAGACTGCTTGTTAAACTTTTTGCTGAAGTCAAAGAACACGGAAGGAAGGAGAAAGCGAAATGTACACGCGCACACACACGAATGAAATCCGGCCTATGAATGCAGGAAGGAAGGAAGGAAGGAAGGAAGGAAGGAAGGAAGGAAGGAAGGATACCCCGAGAAATGAAATTGCTTGACAAGGTCTGCTCTGCAAAAGTGCACACGACTGCTATCATGGGCGTAGCAAGCCGGATCTTACTGAACGAACCCTGAACGAACCTTGTCCTTGAATGAAATTGCTTGACAATGTCTGCTCTGCAGAAGTGCACACGGCTGCTATCATGGGCGTATGACAAGGTAGGAGAGGGAGAGAGAGCGATAGATGATAGGTTGCGATCAGAGAGCGATAGATGATAGGTTGCGATCTATGTATGACGTTCAGGCTGTAATTGGAAGAAGGATAAATTTCCACCTTTGTAATTGCTGAAAGGACCGGGAAGCCGCGTCAAGCAAGTGTTTCATTTGTTCTCTTTTTCTCAAGGAGTGGCGTTTAATAGAGTTTTGATAGTTGAAAGAAGGACAAGATTAAAAGGTTTGGCGTTGTGTGTGTGTGTACAAGCCTACACTCTTATCTCATCACGCAGACCTCAGAAAATTAGAGCTTGTTAATCCTCTCATTCTTCATGATTGGGGTCGGGCTTGATGACGTCCTCGTCTCTCTCCTCCTCCTCCTCCTCTCTGTGTCTGTCTGTCACCGCTCACCTCAGCTCCTATACTCACTGCTCTCAGCTATCCTTCCTTTTGCACCCACCCATCTCTCTCTCTCTCTCTCTCTCTCTCTCTCTCTCTCTCTCTCTCTCTCTCTCTCTCTCTCTCTCTCGCTCGCTCGCTCGCTCGCTCTCGCTCTCTCGCTCGCTTGCTCTCTCTGTGTGATCCGTCGAGGCACGTCAGAATAGATGATAGCTATTCGTCCGATGAGACACTTGTCAGGTCCCTCATATGTGTTATAGAATCTTTCTGCTCCCCCCCCATCCTCCCTCCCCCTTTGTGTTTGTCATGTGGGGAAGCAATGATGAAAAGTCGAGCAAATGTATGTATCGAATGCGTTCTTTCTTTTCCTTCTTACATTGTCTTCTCTTTTCGAGTAAGAAATCGAGTCAGTTCCACGTTCCTTTAGAAGTCATGTGATCCTTATGATCTGATATCGGTTAAGTGATCGTGCAGCTTGGCCTAAAGTCTCCTGAATTCCCCTAAGGGCCACTGTTCCCTGGTTGTTAGCCGTCTTTGGTCGTCCATTTAATATGGATACGGACACGGATCAGCCTGCTCTCTCTCTCTCTCTCTCTCTGTCACACACACACACACACACACACACACACACACACACACACACACACACACACACACACACACACACGCGCGCGCGCGCGCGTGCAAGATCGGTCTTTTCTCGATCTCGATCGACACTGTTCTTTGGTATTGCAGTCTAGACTATAGCCATGAGTTAAGCTGCATTTACCAATTTATCGACTATGTTGTTACCGTTGGTGTATGAATAGAGAAATGCAGCTTAACTCGTGAATAGAGAAATATTATTCAAATATAGCTTTTAGCATGGAAGATAAAGCTCAAAAAAAGAAAAGAGAAAAGGATTAAAAAAGGGGGAAACAGGGAAAAGGGGAAAAACAGGGAGAATAAAATGAAGAAAGAGAAAAAGAATTGCAAGTAGGATCCTCGGGACACTTCGTCGGTTAATACCGGCGGTGTCGGTTTTCCACATGATGACCACACTGTCATAACTTTCCGCATGCTCTCTGTTTTTTTTGCCCTCTGATGGAAGCTCATCTTTCTTCCAACTTTACGAGCATGCATGACATTGTCTGCGATACAGCACTCTTCTTCTGCCCGTGGCAGGGGCAGTAGTGCTAGATTCTTCCCGACACTTGACACAAGGCAAAGAGCCTTTAGGCTGGCTAAAAATAGATCAAGTGTAGTATCTGAGCTGTTCCGTGGTGGTCGGTCCATCGGAAATAAAAATAGCCAAAGAACCTTTTTTGTAGGCCTCATGTAACGAGATGCTGTCGGGATGGGATGGCAGATCCTGTACCTGTGGGAAGAAGGGATGACGATGAAGGTGGAGATGGAGATGGAGACTGCAGGGGAGAGAAGGACAGCACCACCAAGGACTCAATGCCGCATGGACTCCAAAACTGCAAAGTGAAGAATGAAAATGAAAACAGACTGCAGCTGGGCTATACCCGCAGCGGACTGGTACCGACAGCGGTATCGTGGACTGAATAAACACAGCATTTGAGATCAGGCCGACGACCTGGTCCCACAGGCCGAACAGACACAGACACAAGGTCATAATAGCCCAGGCTATAGGCTGGGGTAAATAGAGTCCTGCTGCACCTGGGGCTCATTGCAACAATTACTTTCTCTGGAAGGATTTACTGAGAACTGTCACATGTTTAGTCGATGAATGTAGGTGAAGGCAAAGCTCATGACCAATCAGGAGAGCAGGCCTGAAAACCAGATGCCCTGTTAACCTCTTGTGCCAATCAGTGGCTGTAAACTTGAATGACCGCTTTTTTTGCACTGGCAAGATGACTCTTAACTCAACCTCGTTCAAGCCATTGACTGTCTTACTACGATGTAATTAGTGGGTTCGGTACGGATTTTTTGGTTGATTGATGGATCAGTTGCTTGGTTGGTTGATGGACTGATTGATTGATTGATTGATTGATTGAACGAGTGGTAGGGTGGTTATTGGTCTGAGTGCCTGACAGAACTTGCACTGTCAAGATTACTTTTAGCTCAACCCCATTCAACTCATCGACTGTTCTACGATGTAATTAGTGGGTTGGGTCGACTGGCAGGTTTTTCGGTCGATTGATTGATTAGTTGATTGGTTGGCTGGTTGATGGACTGATTGATTAGTTGATTGGTTGGCTGGTTGATGGACTGATTGATTAGTTGATTGGATGACTACAGTAGGGTGGTTACGTGTCTGGGAGAGTAATTGTTTGGCTGATTGGTCGAAGACAGATTGGTAGGGTGACTGCTTCAATGTGAGAAGTGCCATTAGGGGCTTGTTCCCTGTCTCGAGTCCGTCGAGATCATTCTCCAGAGCTTGACTTGACTTTCAGCGGGATTCTCTGGGTGCTGAACTGCGGTTTCCACATCTAGGAAGTGCCCGGCGCTCGCTACAGTCTTCCCCCGAATAGAACGTACCGTCATTATCGCTGTATCTATAGTCTGAATGTTGCCCCAAAATATACGGCTGTGATTACCGTCCGCTCTGTTCAGGGGAAGACTGTCGTTACGCCGTAGCATTTGCGAAGTTGTAGATCAGGGATGGACTGTGATTCGAACTCTCGCTCAGAGCTGCTGTTCTCAGCTAGAAAGATAGCCTGCCACGTGGTCATCACCTTTTGCCTCAGAACTTGGTCATAATGTTGACCACATGCAGCATCAGAACTAACTGCCTATCTGTTTCCTGCTTTGGTTTTCCGGGCCTGTGCATCTGTGATCTCCTTTGACATCCCGCTGATTCACATCTTCTCCTACGGCTGGGCCCTTGGGTCCTGAGAAGGGAGCGTTGCTGTTCGAGTTATAGATCGACAATATCTTGTGTGTGGGAGTCCGATGAGGGGTCGATCCACTGCGTAGTTCATACGCTCATCCTATTAGCTTCCACCACGACATGCCGGGAGGATCGGAAGCCCTTGCAGCGATCGCGAATGTATTGGGGCAACTTTCAGTCTAGATGCGGTGTAAAGTTGTAAACTCGTGCTCCGTTTGTCAACCGTTACACGTGTGTGCCATTCAGGCGGCGAGAAGGTACCAAACGCCATCGCCTTTACCTGAATAGAATGCCCTGTCATTATATACTACAGCTGTATTTGGGGCAACTTTCAGTCTAGATGCGGCGAGAATGAATGACCGGGCTGGGCATTCTATTCGGGTGAAGATGGTAGTTCAATTTATATAAGTGCAGGTGGTCTGGACTCTGGATTGTCAACTAGAGGACACATGCCACATTGCACAGTAAATCCTGACCTCAGTGAACTCTACTGTTCGGACATCCCCTCCCCCCAACCTACCGATAGTCTACTCTATTGTTGGAGACTTGATCCAAGCCCCCTGTGTTGTTCTTGGTCTATTTCATTGTTGAAGACGTACTTAATCTCCCCCCAACTTAGTTTTGCTCTAAGACTTTCACAGTTTTTCACAAAATTTGATGAAACACTACAAGCATGAAAAATGGATGAAGTTGACGTTGGTGTACTCAAAGTTTTGCGGGCTCCCGCCATTCCGCTCCCTTCTCCGACGGAACCTTCCCGTGATCAGCATGCACATATCGATTGCTGCAGCTCTGAGTTGAAAGTGGTGGCTCACACCTCAGATGAGACTGGTGTCATTATTATTTTTTTTTTTAATCATCAAACAGAGCTGCCCGGTAATCAGTAGGCAGAGAGGGAGAAGAGGACAAGAAATGAGGGGCTATATTGCCAAACAGAGCTCCCCAGTAAAAAGTAGGCAGAGAGGGAGGGAGGGAGAAGAGGACAACAAACAAAGGAGGGACTGTGACAAACTGTTTCGTCGGAGTTTCACCGACTCATCAGGAGGCTATATATATAATATATATAATATATATAATATATATATATATATAGTCAAACAGAGCTGCCTACGGTAAACCGTAGGCAGAGAGGGAGAAGAGGACAACAAACAAGGGGCTGTGACAAATTGTTTCGTGAGAGTTTCACCGACTCATCAGGAGGCTGAACGCTCAACAGTCTGCAGCATCCCCTAACTGCAGAATCCACCTTAATCCCAGTTCTGGTTAAGCATCAACGACTGTCCGCGACAACTGATACCCTGAGGTGGGCACCAACCACAAATTGTTTCGTGAGAGTTTCACCGCCTCATCAGGAGGCTGAACCCTCAACAGTCTGCAGCATCCCCTAACTGCAGAATCCACCTTAATCCCAGTTCTGGTTAAGCATCAATGACTGTCCGCGACAACTGATACCCTGAGGTGGGCACCAACCACTGCCCTCAACGTACCTGTGACGAAAATCAAAGCAGACTATCACTCACCCACACCAGATGGAAAACTCTACAGACTGTCGGTTCACACCCCGTATGTAAAAAAATACAATGACGATATATGACTGGGCGTCATTTCCGGGTGAAGACGATAGGTGTGACCGGTAAGCGTCTGATCCCACTCTACTTACGGAAGACGAATCCGTAAAAGTAACGAAAAAGCTGGGCCGCTCCAGTCGGGCCGTAAAAGAAAATGGGGACCCCACTGGCCCGTTTCGTTCGCAGCTTTCCCGTGGGTTTCGGCGGTTTTCGATGGGCGGGTTGATTTTGGGGTTGGAAAACGGTCCACTTGCACGGACACTACCGGGACCTCCTACGTCGCGTACACTTGCCGTTTGTGTGGCATGGAGTGCCACACAGGAGCGTTGTGGGCCCAGCGCGTCACGAACTTCGCTGTTTTCCCGAACGGGCAAATCCCCCCACGCGCGTCGACTACCCTCCGCGCACAGCACCGTTTTTCCTTGTGCCTGCGATGGCCTTCGTCGACGTGGCACTGCGTGACGTACCATCGCCTCGAACTGGAACATGACCGCTGTACCTTGTGGGTGAAGACGGA